CTAATACAGGTAACTGTTTTTTACTGATCTCCCGTAGCACGGTGTTGCATTTTTTTAAGTTGTTTACATTAAAACCGGCTTGTTGATAACACCGCAGTGATATAACCGACGCGTCTGCACCGCTATCGAGTTTGAACTTTATTTCAACTCCGTTAACGTCCACTAACGAACACCACGAATCACATAAACCGCTAGACGACGACTCAATAGAAATATTGTACATAAGTAGCTCACCGTTACTGCAGTCCTCACCGTATGAGTCATCCTCTTCCAGCACCTCCCGCGTAAATTGCACTCGACAACACTTAGCAAAATGGCCATACCTATCGCACCGATAACATTGCACTGACCTCGCCGGACAGCGATCACTCATATGTTTAAACGAACACTTTTCACAAACACTACCATAGGACGTATAGGAACGCAGGGTGGGCTCGGGGCCGCGGGCTCGGCGGTCACCGCGCTCCGGCGCCGGACGAGGGCGCCGTCGGCCGCGAGCCCCGGGCGCCGCTCGCGCCACCTGCTCCACGGCGGCGGGTGCGCCGGCGCCGGCGGCTCCCGCGCGCGCCGCACTCGCCTCGCACGCCGCTCCCTGCCGCCCGGCTCGCTCCGCCGCTCTGCACCATAGAGTCGCTTCCTCCAACGTTAACGTAGACTTGGCTAACAATTTCTCACGCATGTGTGTTTCTTTAAGACCACGAATCAACTGAGTTAAAATAAGACTGTTACGTAAATTTCCAAACTCACAATTTTTGCTATTTACCTTCAATTCGCCAATAAATTTATCGAAATCTTTTTCATTCTGATAAGTTTCAAAAAACATATGGCGCTCATAATTGATGTTTTTTTCTGGATCACAATATTCCTTAAACTTTCGACATAAAATATCATAATCATGCTTTTCAGAATCATTCACATCTAATTCTTCGAATATTTCTCTTCCATATTTTCCTATGACATGTATAAATAATCCACACTTTTCCTTTGAGGTCACTAATTCTTTTCCCGCCGCAATCAAAAAACAGTCGAATGATAATTTCCATTCTTTCCAATTGTTAGCCAAGTTACCATCATGTTGTAGTGGCGCCGGTTGCTGAATTACCGCACTCGCATTTATTGCTATTTTCTCCGATTCCATTATAGTTTCTCACGTTAGTGCTTAATATTTATCACATAAATTAACTAGTTATACTCTTAAAATAAATTTTTACACCTGACACCATATAATAAGTTTGTGTATGTATGAATAATACGCCAGTTAGGAAACGACTAATTAAGTATATTCACTTCTGAAGGTACATTGCTTTTATATCTTAAACTACCTACAACAAGTATATTGCTCCCCACCGAGACTGAACAGTGCGAAGCAAATCTTCAAACTCCCATTTTTCGGAAATAGAATCTAAATTAATGCCTTGAACCGTTCTATGAAAAGCCCTAAAATTACTTTGTTGCTTTCTCAACATTTCTTCCGTCCTACTTACTGTAATTCTAGAATGGTGGGATGGATTCCCACCCTCGAACTTGGAAGCATCACCTGATTGAGGCAAAATGTTGGGGGTTTTAAGATAGGCGTTTTGGGCCTATCCTCTGCTACAGGTTGATAATTTTGGAAATAGGCCCTGATATTACCATGCCTCTCTTTCACTCTCTCCAAATCCTGATCGATGTAATCTCTTGTTGACACATCTAACTCACTAGCTATCAATTTTTTGTAATTGGTGTCGTATTCTAACCAATAGCTATCGATAATGTTTACCTTACGCTTCATATATTCTGGAGTTTTCCTGCTGGAACTATCCTTCTTGAAGTTGGTATATAGAGTCTCGATTACTCCTGCTATTTGCTGTTGGTTGGTAATAACATCGCTAACAGATGACATGGCTAACTTGAAATAAATGGACAGGTCTTACTTGATTAGATGACTTTGCCACTCAGGGTAGCCACGTACTACGCTGTTGGAGCCTTGCTGCAAGATTGCTGTGCGTCTTGATAGCACAGCAAGGTATTTCTTGATAATTCACTACGCCACTTGATTTGACACAGTGAGTATAGGTACTCAGTGAATACACTAAGCTTTTTGTATTGGTAAGCGGAAACACTGACACGTTTCAAAGTTCACTCACGGTGTTCCTGGTCCCGCTATCCCGTTTAGCTCGAAGGACCAATGTTCGGGTTGGAACTAATAAATGATAAACTGATATTGTAGGATAAAACTGTATATTTGGCGAAAGGACTAAAAATAACTATAAAATAATAATTGCTATGAGTACGCGTGACTTGATGAGTTGATGATTGCGAACTGATTTTGTGCAATAAAATTAATTGTGAATATGTAATTTAGGTCAACGAAATGTGCTGATGTGACGATGTACGCGCTTGCTCGTACAAGCCAGACGAAGACGGACAGCGTCTACTCCCCCAAGCCTAGCTATACTATACTGCGGTCGCGAACCCGCCTGCCAAGCTTCCTCCTATTACGTCAAACCCTCCCGAAATGTTTGACAAATACACAAATTAAAATCAGGCCCTAGTCCCAGCCACGGTAGCAGGTCTATGCTCAATAACTGAACACTAATTGCTTCGATTTCACTTCGCTTTAGCCTAATTGGTACGCAAACACCGAAAAACCACGTGAAGCGTCATGTTAACAATTTAATATTTGATTTGTTTTATAATTTAATTAAAAAACAGTTGCACTTTAGAGTATATAATAGGTTATCCCCGAAGCCTATTGAATGGTATTATCATAATCACTATAGTCCAGGAATTTTAGCACCAAAAATCGGTCCGCTCTGCATAAAATCCTTCTACGTGATTTTTTGATTGGATTATATCAGAGGGTGCCCCCTAAGTATAAAACCGAGTTTCTGTCGCCCGAAACCGCGAGCGTTAGCCGCCATCTTGGAAACCGTTTTTTTGCATATATCTCGGAAACGGTAAGTTTTACGTTAAAAACCGAAGAGATCTTTTTTGTAGAGAACAAAATTTCCCATCTTTTTTATACCAAACTTTTCCCCCTATTGTTGATATTTTCCAATATATTGAAGTAAAAAAACCAAATTTTTTGTTTTTGTAAAGTATCTCAATAATTTTTGGAGATACGAAAAAAATGTTTGAATTAAAGTTGGAGAGCATGAAATTTTCTACAAATTTTGTATAAAACTTTTTCTTGCAAAATGATTAGTTGCTGAGTTCCAGCTGAATAAAAATTGTCACCAGGAATCGAAAATCAGCGATGAGCGGTAATACGTTACTCTGACAAGCAAACAAAAAAGTATAATCGAAAAATTTTATCATGAAGACGTTAACGATTTTATTTATCGTGAAAAGGAGGGAAATGAAAGATTAAAAAGGAAATTTTGCACAATAAAAATATTTTAACGAATTATTGGAAAAAGGAATGAAAATTTATTCATGTATCCAAATTCATTATCATTTGCGCGATATAAGTCGCTGTTTACAAATCAGGATCGCAGAATATTAATTTAATAAATTGTATTTGATAAATTTTATTCGTCGATGTTAGATTTATAAAATTTTTCGTTGTTTACAACCGGAAGAATTTTATTATTTTTTTTTAATTTAACGATTTTTTTTTTCATTTTAACGGCGTTCCGACTTAAATTACTTACCTTCTGGAAAACAATACTTTACGCGGAGACATCGAATTTACTTATACTTTTTGTTTGCATGCGAGAGTAACGTATTGCCACTTACCGCTGATTTTCATGATCTTTTATTGCGCTAGAACTCAGCAACTAATCATTTTGCAAGAAAAAGTTTTATACAAAATTTGTAGAAAATTTCATGCTCTCCAACTTTAATTCAATATTTTTTTCGTATCTCCAAAAATTATTGAGTTACTTTACAAAAACAAATAATTTGGTTTTTTTACTTCAATATATCGGAAAATATCAACAATAGGGGGAAAAGTTCGGTATAAAAAAGATGGGAAATTTTGTTCTCTACAAAAAAGATCTCTTCGGTTTTTAACGTAAAACTTACCGTTTCCGAGATATATGCAAAAAAACGGTTTCCAAGATGGCGGCTAACGCTCGCAGTTTCGGGCGACAGAAACTCGGTTTTATACTTGGGGGGCACCCTCCGACATAATCCAATCGAAAAATAACGTAGAAGGATTTTATGCAGAGCGGACATCTAAAAATCTTGGACTACTATCTTTTCATATCTTCAGTATATAAAACCAATCACGTCGCATCGTGGGAATGTTCCGGTATTTACCGTTTGAGCCTCTTTGAACATACCATTTATTTTGTATTTGACGATGACAGTTTCAGGAATGTACCGAAAGGTACCGAGGTAATAGGTTGTGGTGCTTTATGTTTTAGATGTGACTTTAAACGTTAAAGGTCGTAGCAGACATATCAACTCGAAAAGGGATCGTCACCGTATCAACTCGATTCGAATGTAATACTTAGTAGTTGATATAAATTTAAAAATAACGAACGCTCGATGTTCTTTTACAAGTAACTGCCCTATTCTTACCCATTTTTAGGGTACCCATTTTTAGGGTGTACTCTGTACTATAGCCTACCCTTTAAAACATACAACAGGAATTAATAATTTAGAATAATACGATACTTATAAGCATACGAATACGATTGATTAATTCGAGAATTATTTGTTGTTTGTTATTAAACTTTGAACAGTTCCATCGTCTATCTCCGAAACTCTTCTACGGATCCTAATTTAAAAAATTTCTTCAAATTATACATTAAAAAAACAATTATCGGATCGGATAGTTTTCAAGAATGTCGCAAATATACAAACATACCTACATACCGACGGGTTAAACATAAAACCTCCCTAAGTCCCAAGTCGCTAAGCATCTGTGATGCATAACACAAATATTTATTAATTTACTGTTAACAAATTCGCTTTTTTTTTCGCAAGCAAATAAAATTCATGAGACTTCCAGTGTGTACACAGCAAATACATATTTAAACTATAGTTTTAACAACTTTAAAAATACGTACCATTTCTCCTCAGCACCGTCCACCTTTAAGTCTGGGATGTTAGGTATCTTCTTATTGAGATACGCGGAGGATATCTTTAGCAGGGCCTGGGAACAAACACATATGTTCAGTATAACCACAAATCTATTTAGAGGTACCTGTAACAGTCTTGGAGTAGGGTTCACTATAATTACATGACAACAAGGGTAAGGGTTAAACTAAGGTATTGTATAGATTAGTAACATGCAATAATCTCCGGATAGTATGTAGTCAAATGGATATATAGGTTGATTGTATTCAAACACTATTTGAAGTAAATGTAATTTTTCAGCTATTGAATCCTTCAAATACTATGAATGTGTAAGATTTATGATATAAGCAAATATAAGTTATTTGAGACTTTGGAAAACAGATGGGGATGCATATACTGGTATTCTGAGGAGACACGGCGAATTTATTAAGACCAAAATTGACGGGAGTTTTGGAGTTTGAGGAAAGAGAGAACAGGGATGATTAAGGACAGAAAACAATAAACAAATGAAGAACGAACCTGCAGAAGAATCACAGGGGGTCAGGGCGGTGCCACAGGGGTCAGGGATGATGGAGGATTCGTAGACTTATCGATGATGGCATATATTGAAATATAGCTAGATAGTTTTTTTGTACCACTTACGTGGCAAAGAGCATGCGGTTTCTCTGATGGTAAGTGTTTACCGCAGCCTATGGACGTTTGTAATACCCGCAGCATAATACACACGTTGCCGACTCTTTAAAAATGCTATTATGGCCGCATACACCAAAATTTTGCAAGGCAAACTATCAGTAGATCCACTTCAAATTGATAAACGGGCGACGCATGTTTGAAACCAATAACAAGAGATAAAGTATGCTACATAGCATGAGAACGATTGGATTGATAACAAACAAGCTACATTTGTCAGGTAACTACAGAAATTGAGCATGAAGTTAGAGGAAAACACAGTCTTATTAATCATGTGTACAAACCAGTTTAGTGTTAACTAAACTGACAGGTAACAAAAAACAGGTAGTTATACCTGTCTACTAACTGAACAATAGAACTCATAGTCACCTGCGAGCACAATTATGTTGTGTACGTACAGTATTTTTTTCATATACATCAATTAGACTAGCCCCAAAATAAGTAGGTACTGTAAATACATATAACTAGATATTATAGTTATTAACGGGATTGTTACCATGTCCGATATTTCGGCACTGTAGCAAGCGCCATGATCACGGAGTAACTGAAGTAATTGCGAGTTAATTTGTAATAAGTATTTTAACTCTTGAGCTCATGGAACGGAGAAGGGAAATGACGGTGCAGTTTCCAATCTCCTGGTCTAAGATGAGGCAACTAAATACACAGATCTCGAAGTCTGTGCGACGCGATATTCGCCTCTACAATACCAAGCGTATTAAAGAGGCGATAGAGCGGAACCAAGGCTCCAAAGTGTTCGCAGAAGATCTGTCTATTGGGCAGTGTCAGTTAACCAGACTGAAGACCGACAACGGCACTGTCATTTCTTCCAAAGATGAGATCTTGAGTGAGGTCGAGCTGTTCTATGGCTAGTTGTACAAAACATCCCAAACTCCTGTTGTCGGCTTGGTCCAAGATCCACGATACAAGCTAACCCGACACTATACTGAGGACATCCCGGATGTCAGCCTGTACGAGATCAAAAAGGCTCTCAAGCAGCTTAAAATCAGTAAAGCACCGGGCGATGACGGAATCGCTACGGAGGTTCTGAAGGCGGGCGGTAAGCCGGTCCTCGTGGCCCTTCAGAAGCTATTCAACTCCGTCATCCTCGGGGGCATTGTTCCAGAGGCGTGGACCAGGAGCGTGGTGGTGTTGTTCTTCAAGAAAGGCGATAAAACCCGCTTGAAGAACTATCGACCTATCTCGCTCTTGAGCCACGTCTATAAGTTGTTTTCGAGAGTCATTACAAATCGACTTTCGCGCAGGTTCGACGACTTCCAGCCTCCCGAACAAGCCGGTTTCCGAAAGGGCTTTAGTACCATGGACCACATACATACACTGCGTCAGATCATACAGAAGACCGAGGAGTATCGGTCTCTGTGTCTAGCGTATGTGGACTATGAGAAGGCCTTCGATTCGGTCGAGACTTGGGCGGTGCTGCAGTCCCTCCAGCGGTGCCAAATTGACTATCGAAGTGTTGAAGTGTTTGTATAGAAACGCCACTATGTCAGTCCGAATCCAGGAGAGAAGTACGAAACCGATTCCATTCCAGAAGGGTGTCAGACAGGAGGGCGTAATTTCCCCGAAACTGTTCACCGCTGCATTGGAAGACGTCTTCAAGCTTCTGGATTGGACCGGACTCGGAATTAACATCAATGGCGAATACATCACTCACCTTCGATTTGCAGACGATATCGTGGTTATGGCAGAATCCCTGGAGGACCTTGGCACAATGCTCAATGACCTCAGCAGAGTTTCCCAACGGGTTGGTTTAAGGACGAACATGGATAAAACCAAGGTCATGTTCAATGTCCATGTCACTCCAGCACCAGTATCTGTTGGGAATGCGATTCTCGAAGTTGTCGATCATTACGTCTACCTAGGACAAACAGTCCAGTTGGACAAATCCAACTTCGAGAAAGAGGTCAACCGACGAATCCAACTCGGATTGGCAGCGTTCGGGAAGCTTCGGCACATCCTCACGGCCAAAATTCCCCAGTGCCTGAAAAGAAGGATCTATGATCAGTGTGTGTTACCAGTGATGACTTATGGGACAGAGACGTGGTCTCTGAACGTCGGCCTCATAACAAAACTCAACGTGCTATGGGCTATGCTCGGTGTTTCCCTACGTGATAAGATCCAAAATACGGAGATCCGTAGAAGGACCGGTGTGTACGACATAGCCCGAAGAGTTAGCACGCTGAAGTGGCAATGGGCAAGCCACATCGCTCGAGGATCTGACAACCGTTGGTTAAGAAAGGTCCTCGAATGGCGACCACGTACGACGCAGCAGGGGGGCCCCCAACAAGGTGGACTGACGACATTGTCAAATGTGCTGGGAGCCGCTGGATGCGGATAGCGCAGGATCGCACATTGTGGTGTTCCATGGGGGAGGCCTATGTCCAGCAGTGGATGGAGAAAGGCTGATGGATGGATGGATGAAGTATTTTAAATGTTTGGTAGGTGCCTAAGTTGTTTATTATTACAGGCTTGGTTTTTATCAACAATCCTTAGCATCTAAAGAAAAGTTTACTAGAAAAAAAAATCCACGCGGACCAAGCAGCAGGCGAAGCAAGCGGCGAATGCACTGGCCATTATGCTACCGCGACCCTGACAGCCATGTCGATTTTTTCTCTAGCCTTAGGCTGCAAGGCAGCGCCATCTCTTCGCATTGTCGGAAAACCACAATGTCAAATAAATTTACAAGTATTAAACATTTGAAAGAAAAAATAGCAATTATATTTGTTTTTTTATTTATAAGCATTTAACTGCTAGATGTTTAAATCTAAAGAAAAGTTTACCAGAAAAAAAAACTAAAATTGCTGCTTCGTCCACGTGAATTTTTTTCCTTTAAACAACTAGCAGTTAAATGCTTAAAAAATAAAAACATAACTAAATACTTACCATTCCAAGGTTCGTAATTTCTTTACAGTATTTTTTTATCTACCACTTAAATTAAAGTGAGAAACATTACACTTCTTTTTAGCAATAGTGTTAAAACTGGTACCAATTCGTATATAAACTAGATATAAATATAATAGCTTTAAGAGAAAAGAACATTTTATTTAAAACTATTATTCTCTAAATGTTATCTAAGTTTTCAAGAATTCTTAAGGTCAAATTCGATTTAGAGTCTATAAATGTATTTTAAAGGGAGGCAATTATGGAAAAAGCTCAGTCTCTTAAACTTATCATTATATTTAATTTCGCAACTTTCACTTAAAAATAAAAATAGGCACTAAAACAAAATGTTATTTATACTTAGACCTAATAACCGTTTCTGGAGATATCATAAATGAAATCGTTTGAAAACTAATTGGCAATTTTGTACGAAGGTTTTTACTATTACGGAAAAACAATTCGAGTCTTAATTAATTTATAGCTATTATCGGAGTTTTCTAATTATGTTTATCTTCACAGTCCGCAGTGAATTTCATAAACAATACTTAATTTTGAAAAGTTAAACAAACTCTATTCGTTTTTAATATAATTCATTAGACTAGGTAACTTTGTGAAAGGAATAATTAAAGTGCTGTATTTTTTTTGTTTTTATGTGAAAACGAGTTTGAAATAATAATATAGGTACTTTATTCGGACTCGGACTGTAAATCTCTGACTGTTTTTCTGTTACATTACTGTTTCACGCCCAAGAGGGCTATTACGCTATGTCGTGACGAATACTTTATCGTTGGACAACTGTCGTCCTTAGCTTTTCCCATTTTATCGACTGTTTATCGTTACTTTGTCGTCAAAATGTTTTATCGTTGAACGACTGTCGTATCTAGCTGGTCCCATTAGTTCGTGACGACATTTTTACGGTTAACGGCAGTCCCCTAGTCGTTTTCACATCAGTCACCTCTACGTTCCTTTTTTTAATATTTTTATCGTGGCTACGATGATAGGCAACAACAACACATGATTTGCTGTCACGATAATTCATCACTTTTTTATATTGTTTAATAACTGTCGCTATAGCCATTCTCAAAGAAGTCGTGGACGACAGGTAATCATGTCGTCCTATATATGTGGACACCTCCATTGAAATATATACAAGCCATGATGCTTTAAACGACATGATAATCTGTCGTCATGACATAATCAGAACGCGCTATCACATTGATTTTTATGAATTTTAGTATAGAGATAAAGGGGAAATGGGAGAGGGACATAGGCTACTGTTTAACACAAAAATATTACTTGTAATTGGTGGTATAGGGATGGAAGATTATATGGAAAATTTATATTCTACGGAGACGATGTCTGGTCACTCATTACTCAATAGTAAATAAAAAAATGCAGGTCAATTGACAATAATGGTAAAATGGGGAACATGAAAGTGGCAGGAAAACATTAACAATCCAAACAGAATCACAGTAGCTGCGATTGAAG